TGTTTCTTTGAGTTCATTGAACATCTTCAATAGTTCATCTCTGAATTCTTTATTGGAGAGCTCACATTTGTGAATAACGCCTCTTGAGGCTTCTGGACTCTCATGGTGGGGATGTGCACCATTTCTTCATATTGTTATGATGTTACGGTGACTGATATGTGACACCAGATTGCTGGGTATTGATAAAATAACTGAGGTCACAGACCTCAAAGGGGCACGCCCACTTCTGCAGAGGCCACGCCCACTTCTTCAGTGGCCACGCCCCTGCGGGTACCTGGGAGAGGCAGAAAACTGGCTGTGGCCTTGGGGACAAACAGGAAGGTGCTCAAGGAGGGTGGACAGCCCCGAGTTCAGAGATTTTTCCAGAAAATAAATCATTTGATCACTTGACATCCAGTTCCTCATTGGTTTATCGAGTGGGCACCAGTAACGTCTCCATTCATCCGTGTCACGTGCTAGTGTAGCCCAGTGGCATCTGCTCCTTCTAGGAACACGAAGAGCCTCAAACTGATCATTTAGGGTCTTGATGAAAAAATCTGACCATCTCGTAGGTGGGCGGCTGCAATCTTTTGACATTGTGTGGAATTCAGTCAGTAGTGGTTCTAGTCCAGTAGTCATCTCCAAATCCCATTATGTGTCCAGCCCATCGAATTTTTGATGCCTTGGCAAACAAGACAGTGTCCCTGATTCTTGATCGTCAATGGAGGTTAGAACTCCAGATTCTTTCTCTCACTTGAGTGTAGTGTGATACTCCAAGTATAGCTCTTTCGATTCCTCTTTGGGGGGCCCCAATAGTGCTCTCACCCTGTTTTTGTAGGGCACAGGTCTCTGAGGTGTATGTTAATGCACGAAGAACAGTGGAATTGAAGAGATGTGCCTGGAGCTGAAGGTTCTTTGTCCTCTTAGACACTCTTGAAGACATTCCAAGCTGCTCTCTTCTTCCTGCTCAACTCAGGTGCCAGGTCATCCGTCATGTTGACTTCTCGACCTAGGTACATATGACTGTTGTATTCGGAGATGTCTGTTCCATTGAGAGTGAATGGAATGTCAGGAACAAGACCATTTCTCATAAACATTGTCTTCATGAGATTCAGCTGTAGTCCAACCTTTTCACACTCATGGTCGAAGTCAGACAGCATTTGTGCTGCTTGGCTAATGTTTGGTGTTATTAGAATGATGTCATCAGTAAAGTGGAGGTGGTGTAGTTGCCGACCGTCTATCTTCACTCCCATTCCTTCCCATTCCAGTCATCACATGATGTTCTCCAGGGTGGCACTGAAGAGTTTCGGTGAAATGGTATCACCCTGCTCACCCCCTCTCTTGACATGGATGATCACTTCCTTGTAGAATGGTGAGATTCTGGTGGTGAATCTGTAATACAGCTCACAAAGGATCCTGATGTATTGAGTTTGAATACCCTGTTTGGCTAGGGTGACTCGATGACTGCTTCCATCTCCACAGAATCAAAGGCCTTCTTTAAATCAATGAATGTCAGACAGAGCGGCATCTTGAACTCCCAAGAAACTTCAATGAGCTTGGTTATCATGTGGATATGGTCAATCGTGCTGAATCCTTTTCAGAACCTGACTTGCTCCCATGGTTGTCTTTCTTCTAGTGTTCTGCCAATCCTATTCAGGATGACTCAAGTGAACAGCTTGTAGATGACAGACAACAGGCAGACCAGGTGATAGTTGCCAATGTCATAAATGTCTTCCTTTTTGTACAGTCCTGCTGGTTTTCCCTTCAGATGGAACCTTGCATTCAGTCAGGTAGTGTTGAAGAGCCGAGCCAGTGTATTGATGAGTACTGATGGCAGGTTCTTCAGGTGTTTGGGTCTAACCTTGCCTGGGCTGGTGCTGTTTGCTTCTTTACCAACAAAATGGTGTGTCGGATTTTGGAAGGGAGAATGTTGGGAACATATCCATTCTGCCGAATTTGGTATGTGGGCAGGTGGACGTGGCTATCGAAGAGATCTGAGTAGAAGTCATGGATATTCTTCTCCATTGCCCTTCTGGAAGATGTGATAGATCCATCAGGATGTCGGAGGGCAGTCATCTTGGTCTTGTACTTGGAGAAGGACAGGTGGCCGTTGGAATGCTTTTACCAGCTTCTGCCACATTTGCCAGCACTGCTGCTCTTCTCTCTATGAGGTCTTCCTTTATCGCTTCTCTGCACTGCTTTGCGAGCTTGGACCTTTGCTTGTGGTTTCTTGAGGCATGCGCCAAGCCACGTTGGCGAATGAGCTCAAGAGTTTTCAAAGAGAGGTATCTTTTTTGTTGCTATCTCTCTCTCTCGGTGCTCCTCGCACAATCATGGAGGTGCTGAACCAGTCTATCAGTATTCCTTGTCAATGTTGTCAATGACGGCATCTTCCCATGTTGCTGCAATAGTGCCAAAGAGCTCCCAGTTGGTGGTCGTTCTGCGAGTTCTCTTCTTAAACTTTTCTTCCCTCTCCATGAAGTAGAATTTTGCATAAAAAAGACGGTGTTCCAATCCCATTTGGAATTTTGGGACAACAGCGACATTGGTCAGGCAAAACCATTGATTGAATATATTGTGGTCCATTTCATTGTGCAACCGGCTGAGTCCACCGGAAGACTCCCATGTCCAACGTTTAGATTTGGCCTTCTGGAACTGTGAGTTACCATGGATGGTCTTGGTTGACATGATGAACTCAGACAGTCTTTTACCCTGTTCGTTCCATTCTAGGCCATGGGTCCTGATGTGGAGATCTTTGGCTGATCTTCTCGGTCCTATCTTGGCATTAAAATCACCAACAATGATCTTGTAGAAGGTGTGGACTTCTTTATAGAACTTCTCCAGTTCCATGTAGAACTTCTCAATTTCTCCTCCATCCTAATTGGATGTTGGTGCATAGACAACGAATATAAAACTGCCAGCAATGAGTCACATATATTCAAGTGTAATTGTCCAATTCGGGTTGTTAAGCATTTGAATGAATCAATGCTCATGGCCAAGTTCATGTTGACGAGGACACTGATATCACTGATGCCTCTTCTGTCGCATGTTCCAAGGAACAGTTCTCCAGTGTCGAAAATGGCGTGATGTGATTGATGTCTTCTCATCTCGGTCATACCAATGATGTCGTACTTGGTCTTTCGTGCTTGTACCATCAGGTTGTCGATGGATGCATCCGATGAAAAAAATTTTACAAATCTTTTTAACTGTTGGCTTGACACTGAAAACAGTTTTGTATTTCTAAGTTGTAAAAAAATGTCCTAAAGTCAAAAACATCTTTCAAAGGAGAATATTTACTCTTCCCATTTTATTTTAAGAGTTCTGATACCTTGCTGAAGATATGTGAATTTTATTTAGTTTTGTTTCCCTTTCCATTTCAGCAAATACCAATATTTCCCCTTTTTATTGTCATTGCCAAATTTAATAATATAATATTCTGAGATTGGCTTATGAAGAGCAAGGCCAGGGAAGCCTTGGGGGAAATAAGAGAACCATGTTTAGTGGGAAATGTAAGAGAGGAAATAATCTTCTAAAGAGAGATTAGAGAGTAAGAGTTGAAGAAACAAAATATATTTCTTAAAAGCACAGTAATTGGATGTGTGTGTGTCTATGCGAGCATGTGTGTGTTTGTATGTGTGTCTTCATGTCTATGATGACATGGTCGTCTACACATTTTCTGCCTTCAGAATAGTTTTCATGCTTTTCAAATCATGCTCCAGTGCTCCAGATTAGGCAGTATCATTGCTCCTCTATATGAGAATTTTTTAGATCCTTTTCCAGCAGAGGATAAAAATGGGATAAGCGTATTTACTGCCAAAAAACATGTGAAAATATTCTGTGACTTTTATGTACTTACAGACCCGAGAAGTATCTTATTATAGCTGAGAAGCTACATTTTACTTAAAAGGGACCATTGAAATTCTTAGTAGTAGACATACTGTAGGAGCCGCTCCCACCCTGGTTGATTCATTTATGTGGCTGTTTATTAACAGTCTATTCCTCTCAGAACCTGGAATTCTAGTATATATAACAGTATTAAAAGACAAAACTTTTTAACAGTAGAAAAATAAAAGTTTCCATGTGTATTAAAACATTTTCCAAGTGTATAAACAACACTCCTCTGTTCAAATTGACCTAATCTGGGCAGAACGTAAAATTAGCAACTCCATTAAATACATCAATGGGTAGAGAACTGTGGAAAATCTACTGTGTGTCCTTGATTTAAAAAATGGCACATGGTAATCTAGGGCTATGTCATATGTCATATGATTACTTTGTAATTTCTATTTAACATCACACACAGAGTCTGCTTTGCATTCTGATTAATAACATCCAAACTTCAAGGGCGGTGAAGGATAGGAAATAAGTATTGAAGCAGTAATACTGTAGCATCCTTCGTATTTTTGTTTGTTTTGTTTTGGGGGCTATACCTGGCAGTGCTCAAGGCTTACTCATGGCCCTATGCTCAGGGATCGCTCCTAGAGGTGTCCAGGAGACCACATGGGATGCTTAAGATCTAACCCAGGTTAGCCACAGGCAAGACAAGTTGGCCCATCAGCTGTACTATCACTCTGGCTGTACCCGTCCCATTTTGACTCTTGCATAATTTAAGAGTTATAGATTGGATGTAAACACATGCAAATTACCTCATATTCCTTATCACACCCTTCTCCCCTCTTCCAATTCCCCAAACCTAGTACTTGAATGAAAAATTTAAATGAGGATATAACAAAAGAAATTATGAGAACAATGCAGATTACTGTACAGCTAAATCACTGGGCTACTATAATTTGCATAGAAGCCACTTAATAGCTTTACATCTCTATTTCTTCATAGGTGAAAATAGGAATTATAACGGTTATACGTGAAAACAGACTGTCCCAGAAATGTTCAATTATTATTTTACTGTGCTTCTCAATGCAAAGGGAGCTTGGGAAGAGTAGAAAAGATTTTTGCACAAAGTCAACTAGCAAGAACATTTTATAGAACATGTTATAGAACATTATAGATCATGTACTTACCAATAATAACTGTGTTGTCATCAGCAATTAGCAACTTGCTGTGGACATAGATAAGCTCAGTGACTAGGTTTCCTTCAAGCTCAGAGTGTGTTCTAAGACCACAGAATGATATATAATTTATCCACTGATTGCCAACTGCAAATTTAAAAAGAAATTGTTGGAATCAATAAAACCAAGCCCAATAGACACTTTAATTTTTATTATATTTTAAAACATTACTAAAACAGGTTAATAATAGGTTGTATCTTTTGTGTGAACATATGATTATCCCAAACTATGTCTGCTATATGAAGAATTTAATACTTTTATTTTGGATTAGTACAAATTAAAAACACTATCCGATTCTATTTGTGAATGAACCGAATAAAACAAAATCAAAAATTTACACTATGAGACCAAATAGTTGGTTGAGAAAGGTAAAAGAAAAGGAAACGGGTAAACTTGGTAAAAGGATTTAATGGTATGATGAAGAACTAGACTTTTAGTGATGAGTTTAACAAAGTACATAAAATGGTTGATTCATAATGAAAAACACCTGAAACATCTAATGTTAAATGCAATACTACTTCAATAGAAATATTTTTAAAAAATAGAAAATCACAATGAAGTGCTTTTTGTGTCTTCCTTTTTTCTAGGCAAACAAAAGTATAGTTGAATGTGAGCATTTTATTTTAACATGACAGGTAAGTATTGGTATGATAAATAAGTGAGATCCAGTGTAGACACCCCAGCCCCACACTATGACATTTGTATTATTCTTGGTTGTCAGCTGATGACATTTTAATCACAGGCATAATATGTGCCCAAGTACTTGATACACAGCTTATAATGCATTCAGGATAAAGCAGCAGTTCAGTTTTATGAAATAAACTGAGGTAAATAAGAACGCTTTCAATTAAATAACACTCCTGAGCTTGAGAGATAATACAGGATGATAGTTCATATGATTCCCTGCATGTGACCAAACCAGGTTCAATGCTTGGCACTTCATAGGATCCTTTGAGCACTGCCAGGAGTGGTCCAAAGACGAATCAATAAAATTAATTAATTTTAAAAATAAATATCACTGCTCCTCCAAGGTCATTAAAATTAAGTAATAAATGTATCTTGGCAACACTTGACACTGGAGAATTTTCTTCAGAAAATTTTCTTCATGTGTTAACCAGTTTTATACTTTCAAATGCTGCCATCTCATTGAGTGAGGGCCACTTAAGTGATAAGAAGAAATAGATTTCATAAAGTCATTGCATTACCAGTATCCTAGCATGTGGTAATCACAAATTTTATAGCCTCTCTCTCTCTCTCCCATGGGCTGGAGTGATAGCAGGTAGGGTCTTTGCCTTGCATGCAGCTGACCCAGATTGATTCCTCCGCCCCTTTCAGGAGAATCCAACAAGTTTGCCAGAGTATCTCGCCCTCATGGAAAAGCCTGGCAAGCTACCTGTGATGTATTCAATAAGCCAAAAAACAGTAACAACATATCTCACAATTCATTGTGAGACATTACTGGTACCCGCTTGAGCAAATCGATGAACAACTGGAGGACAGTGCTACAGTGCTCTCTCCTCCATAGCAGTTGTCCTAGATAAGCAAATTCTGATACTAAGAGTAAGTGGAGTGGAACGAAGCCATCACAAATTCTAACTGAAGTGAATATAAATATTCTTTTCTTCTTTAAGGGAATCTGTAGCATACTAATATAACAAATATTCAATTTAATCCAATTTCTATATAGGCTGGAGTGATAGCACAGCAGTAGGGCATTTGCCTTGCGTGCAGCCAGCCAGGCCGAGCCGGGTTTGATTCCTTCTTTTGCCCCTCTCGGAGAGCCTGGCAAGCTACCAAGAGTATCTTGCCCCCACGGCAAAGCCTGGCAAGCTACCCATGACGTATTCAATATACCAAACAAAGTAACAACCAGTATCAAAAAACGGAGATGTTACTGGACCCGCTCGAGCAAATTGATGAACAACAGGAGGACAGTGTTTGTTGGTTCTATATGGTACTGATGTTTTCTATATTACTACTGATTCTAATCAGTATTTGTGTTAAATTTGTGCTTCTTGGAAAGAAATTCATTCATAGGTTATATATAGATTTACAGGTAAGTATCCATTTATAGATAACATTTCTCATATTTATAAGTAATATTATAGTCATACTACCTAGAACTGATTTATCAGTGTACTAGCATGTCAGTAAGAAATTACTTTGAAGAGCTTCGTGTGCTGATATTTCTCTTCATAGTGTCCACACTGAGAAAAGCTTGACATGCCAGTGCACCTCACAGCCATACTCAGCAATGTGTGTCAAAGTTAGACTCTGTGGCAGTGCTACTCAGGCCTGGTGCTGTTTGTGACCACAAGGGTACATGCTGGAGAGCTCAGGCAGTCCTGGGAATGGGCAAATTAAACTCAGGGACTCGTACATGTTGAGCAGATTTCTCCATTAGCATATTAGAAATATACTACTTCTAAAGCACTATCACCATTTTAAAGTCTTCTCCGATCCAGAAAAAGGAGTATGAAACACTTCATCATCTCAAACTCTGTAAGCCCAAAATGATCCTGCAAAATATTTCTAATACAACCAATAAGAGATTATCATTTTCAGAATATGTATTTAATCCTCCAGTTCTCTTACTGTTGTGTGTTGTGTTTGTGTGTGTGTGTGGGGAGTGGGGGTGGTTCTTAAAATATTTGCATCCTCTGTTACCACTTTTATGTGGTATTTAGAATAACTGGATCAGGGCAACGAACATTAAGTATGCAACTATTTCCCAAATAGTTTCAGAAGAGGAAAAAAACCAGTGGGCTGGAGCGATAGCACAGCGGTAGGGCTTTTGCCTTGCACGCAGCCAACATGGCCGACCCGAGTTCGATTCCTCCGCCCCTCTCGGAGAGCCCAGCAATCTACCGAGAGTATCTTGCCCGCACGGCAGAGCCTGGCAAGCTACCTGTGACGTATTTGATATGCCAAACACAGTAACAACAAAGTCTCCAATGGAGACGTTACTGGGCCCGCTGGAGCAAATCGATGAACAATGGGAGGGCCTTTACCTTTACCTTTATTAGAGAGAAGAATAAAGGTAAAATGTTAACATTTCGAAGTTATGATGAAAGTTGTAAGCATTCTGAACTCTCTCCTAAAAGTTAGAAAGTGTTTCTCAGTGATGTTTCAGATGTGGCACACTTGATCTTAGCCAAAAGGCGAGAAGTGATGTGTGCTCGCATAGGCAACACATATACTAAAATTGGAACGATACAGAGAAGATTAGCATGGCTCCAGCGCAAGGATGACACGCAAATTCATGAAGCATTCCATATTTTTTGGGCTGGAGTGACAGCACAGCCTTGCTCGCAGCCAGCCCGGCCGAGCCAGGTTCGATTCCTTTGCCCCTCTCGGAGAGCCTGGCAAGCTATTGAGAGTATCTCACCTGCACGGCAAAGCCTGGCAAGCTACCTGTGACGTATTCAATCTGCCAAACACAGTAACAGTAAGTCTCACAATGCAGACATTACTGGGCCCACTCGAGCAAATCGATGAACAACGGGAGGACAGTGTTTTTTTTGTGTGTGTTTGTTTAAGATGTGTGGCCCTAGTTGTTAGCCACAATGGTTTAAGACAAGTAATCGTCTTCAATTCTCTAAAAGCACAAACTTGTGCCATTCCAGAGCAGGACTGGAGAGTACCAGCTAGAGAGTTATTGGTTAATAACAGTTACAAGGCCTCAGGCCAGAAACTGAATGTTCTGGATGAATGAAAGAATTAAAGTGTGGCCCATCAAATAGATTAATGCTCCCACCTATGACAAGAAAGAACTGATCTAACACTCTATGTAAATAAAGAAAAAAATAAACTGAAAAAGGATAAAAAGGATTTCGGCCACCACAAGGTGCTGTCAGCTTTCTCTCCTTTACAATGACTATTGCTGTGGGAAAATATTTTAATCTCTATAATTATCCAACCTCCTGTTAAAGATCGACCCCTGGATTTAACATGCAGGATGATTATTTGGTTTTCCTCACAGAAAACCCTATCACAGGACAGTCAGGATGGCTTTGGGGCTTGCATGCCACCAAGAAATAAGCTTAAGTCTGATATTTTTCCTGAGTACTTCCTTTTTTGTTGTTTTTTGGCTTTTGGGGGTCACATCCAGCAACGCACAGGGGTTACTCCTGGTTCTTCACTGAGGAATTACTCCTGGTGGTGCTCAGGGAACCATATGGGATGCTGGGAATTGAACCTGGGTTGGCCGTGTGCAAGCAAAATGCCCTACCCACTGTACTATCGCTCCAGCCCCCTCCTTGGTACTTTCTAAGCCATGGAGGCATCTCTGGGTCCAATTAATGATTGTTACCTGAACTAATTATTACTATGCTAGCTGACAAATGCTATTTTATTGTAATTCTGAATTTTCTGTTCTATTTGTTTTATAATGTAAAGAAAACTGGTTTAAGAAGCAAAGAAGACAAAGGACCAAACTTCATGGCCTCTCAGGATCTGTATTGCAAACAATGATGACCAAAAGTAGAGAGACTATAAGAAGGAAGGTGTTTGCCATGGAGGCAGGGAGTTGGGTGGGGTGGGGATGGCAGGAGGTATACTGGGGACACTAGTGGTGGAAAATGTGCACTGGTGGAGGGATGGGTATTCGATCATTGTATGACTGAAACTCAATCATGAAAGCTTTGTAACTGTATCTCATGGTGATTCAATCAAAAAAAAGAAGTAAAGAATACAGAGTGGGTGGTGTCAAGATGGGGGATCAAAATATAACTGAGAAGCAAGTGCTTTCTGAAGAAAATAGAAGAAAACCACATGTATTGTTATGAAACAGTGTATGTTAAGAGTATCGGGTATATCAATCACCAAATTATCCAAGGTGAACAGGCACCTTGGAATAAAGGGAAATTTAACACAATCAACTCAACGTTTATAAAAAAAAGTTTTAGAAGTACTGAAAGAGTTACTCTAGGGTTTTTGTTACTTGAAATTTTGTAGCTTTTTGTACATGTACATTTCTAATCCTGATTTTGTTAAATTATACTAAATTGGTTGCTAAAATGCTATAATTCACAACAATTACAAAATGGTAAAGAAATATTTTAAATTAAGCAGTAAACCCCAAAGAT